CCCACTCCTGGCTCAATCCTTGTATAAGAGGCTTGCTCAAACCCTTCACAGCAATGGGGTAGCAGAATTTCTAGGACCAGGCTTTTGATCACACAGAGGCAGGCCTTCTATTTGGCCAAAAGTATACCAAGTCCAGGGAGTCATGCTTGTCCCAGGGATTCCAGGCATCGATCATCTGCACTAGAAATACTAAATGCAGATTCCAGGACCCCACCTGGGAGCCAGTGAAAGAGGACTGCAAACCAAAGTTTAAAAATCTCTACTCTACCATCATCAGAAAATCTATAAATAATAAATGCTGGAGAGGGTGTGGAGAAAAGGGAACCCTCCTACACTACTGGTGGGAATGTATTTGGTACAGCCACTATGGAGAACAGTACGGGGATTCCTTAAAATACTAAAAATAGAGTTACCATGTGATCCAGCAATCCTATTCTTGGGAATATATCTGTAGGAAACACCAATTTGAAAAGATACATGCACCCCAGTGTTTAGCAGCCAAGACTTGGAAGCAATCTTAAGTGTTCATTGACAGATGATTGGATAAAGATCTGATACACATATATATTTAATGGAATATTACTCAGTCACAAAAAAGAATGAAAGAATGTCATTTGCAGCAACATGGATAGACCTAGAGATTATCACACTAAGTGAAGTAAGTCATACAGAGAAAGACAAATATTTCATGATATCACTTATATGTAGAATCTAAAAAAATGATTAAAATGAACTGATTTACAAAACAGAAAGAGATTCATAGACATAGAAAACGAATTCACAGGAAGGAGAAAGGGAAGAGGAGATGGGATAAATTAGGAGCTTGAGATTAATAGATACACACTACTATGTATAAAATTGATAAACAACAAGGACCTACTGTATAGCACAGAAAACTATACTCTGCATCTTGTAATAATCTATAATGAAAAAGAATCTGGGAAAGATACATACATATCTATATATATAAAATATATATAAAGTGTATAACTGCATCACTTTGCTGTACACCTGAAACTAACACAACATTGTAAATCAACTATACTTCAATTTTTAAAAAAAGTAACCATTACTCTAGACCTGTGGTCTCCCAAATAGGGTGTCCACATCTCATGTAATACATAAGACAGTACCATTGGTCATGGGAGGAGAGTATAAAAACTTCTACGTGCAAAATGTCACCTGCAGTTCTGGACGTCTTCCTAAGACTGCAAGCTCCAAACCACAGAAGCATGAACAGTGGGGCCAGCATTGGTACACATTTTTTTTCTGGAGCATTGTTATGTACTGCAGTCTACTCATGAATGGGTTTGTGGATTCTGCTATTTATTTTTAACTGAACTAAAGCTTTTCTTCAGGATGAGCCTTTCTTTAGCCATCACCATAAAATGGTGATCAACCAATCAAACTTAGAAAAAGTCAGCCCCCCAAACCCCCCAAAAGTTAAAAATTATCCAGAAGACTAAAATTTGGGCTTATATCCAACCAGCATCAATGCTGAATCTCAGCTACGTGTATAGTCAGTATAAAGCCGTCATGATTTACAAGATTAAGAAACTAAAACATTATAATTAATAAACTTTTTTAGCAAGAGAAAGAAGTTTTGTGCTGTGAATAAAGTAAAAAAAAACTTCAACTTTTTAATTTCATCTTTATCTCATTATTTAAACATTTCTATGTGGGTATTTTTATAATAATTCACTCTATATGATAACAAATATATAATTTATAAATAAATAAGTAAGCACATATGATCAGTGCATGTCCAAATTCTTTGACTGATGGCCACGTGGGATAAAAGGCCATACAGCTTCTGTCCCAGTTTGAAACTCTCATGAAGCTAAGTCTCCCTCTTTGACTTCCTGATCAGTTTTGAGACTAAGTAACCTGATTCTCAGTGAGTAGTGCCATCAACAGTGAAAAAATCTCCTTCTTTTTGGGTATTGGCAGGACTTTGTCTTAGAACTTCAGAAGAAAAATGCAACAAATTGGTCAGACCTCCTCATCCCAGGCAGGTGAGCCTGAAGGAATTCTGGGTTCTGCATCCTGCTTTGCATATACTGCCCCAGCAGGCCACCACAGACTCTGAAGCCAAGTCCATTCACGACAGTTGCTGGGACACCCTGGCAAGTGCAGAACCAGGCGTGCCTATCGACCTGGTGACATGACAGTCACAGGCAGTCGTCCCTGATCTCCTGAGTCTCGTGTTTTCTATTTCCATCTGCTGCTACTGCTTCTCTTCCTGCCTGAGCCACTCACTCCCTGTGACTCACACTGTGAGTAGCCTGGGGCCCACTACCTTTGAAGACCTGGTTTGGCCTTTTCTCCAGTTTTTGACCTTGGCCGACCTCATTTCATTTTCAAATTGCATGCCACTTTAGCACCCGAAATCCACGGCAGGGACTGAGGTGCTTCCTCAGGCTTGGAGGGCTCATAACGAACTTGCCCAGCTCCCATCATCCCTATATAGAGGGCCAATGATGGTATTATATTGAGTGGGAAAGAAAAGAGCCGAGGACACTTCTGAGAGTCAGCTCCACGCCCCGGTTAACGACTTCTTCACTCTTCCAGACCTTAATAGGGGCAGGGACACTCCTTGGCCAGGAAGAAGACGGTGCAAGCAAAGCTCTTTGCCAGAATCTTTCCGTTTGGTTCTCTGCTACCTAGTTTGCTGTTTTCAGCTTGTAAATCTACAGCTCAGACTCTCTGTTCTTTGTCAAGCTGGAGACCGGACAGGAGAACGTTCATGGGAGTTGGTGACTGACATCTCTTCTCCGGTTTGCTTTCCCCACGCCTCCATCCTGAGGCTTCCTTATTGCTGCTTGTATGCCCCACCCTTTGGCCACAGACACCTCACCCACTCCAGACCGCCTGACTGCCCTCTAAACAGGCCTCCCACTTTGCCCCGGGCGGCCTTCTTGACTTAGAACTGAGTCTGTGTAAGTTGGTAAAGTAACCGCTCACATTTTCTTCTCTAAGAATCCCGTTTGTTATTTACCTACAGATTCCTTGTTTTAAAAGGTTGTGTTTATTAACCTATTTGCGGGTCGTATTGTCATCCCCAAATTAGAAAAATCTAAGATACAAATGACTAAACACTAGACAGACGAGGGAAGGGTTGCCACTGCCAAGGGATGATGGGTGCCTGTGGCACTGCCTGCAGGTGGGAGAAGGGGAGGCAGGGGAGTGTCCACCCAAGGCTCTGCTCCCCGCTGCTGAGAGCTGGCGCTTGGCTCCAGATTTCCATGTTTCCATGCATGCTCTTTGAATCTCAGCCGCACTGTCGGCTGCGATGCACTTATGCTTGAGATATATATATAAAACTTTTGTTATATTGTTTGGGTTTTTTGTTTGTTTGTTTGTTTGGGAGAGGGAGGTAATTAGGTTTATTTGCTTATTTTTTTTTTAATGGAGGTACTGGGGATTGAACCCAGGACCTCCTGCATGCTAAGCAAGCACTCTACCACTGAGCTATACCCTCCCCACCCCATGTTTGGTATATATTTATAATGTAAATAGGGTCACAGGGTTTTAAAGCTTAGTACAAAAACCTTAATCTGCATACACTCAAATTCAGGAGGCCTGTATGTAGTAAGAAGGTCTAAGGTGAGGAAAGGTCATTTCTTGTTAATTCAATCTTAATTTTAATAAGGCATCTCTTAGGATATATTACACAATGACTATTTCAAGCAAGTTTTATTATTTTTGTTTTGTTTATCCTGAACACCAAAATCATCTTTACAGTAAAGCACATATGACATGCTAATAACTGTAAAGAAAGTTCCACATAACATAAAAATTGACTTGCATTAAAATATTTCCTTTAGAAGCAAACTAAATATCCATTGACCAATGACTGGATAAAGAAGGGGTGTGTGTGTGTGTGTGTGTGTGTGTGTGTGT